ATGCATGGTGGGAATACGAAAAATGGGACGCCCCTACAGCTGGATCTAAAAAAACTTGTGCCAAACTTTCGTTACCAAGTCGTCGCGTATTTTATTATCAATTCTCAACAAAGATACTAGATACAAAAACAAACTGAAATAGACACCCAAACAGTGACATCGGTGAACACATAACCTCCTTGATGGCGGTAGAAATCTTTGCTATTATCCAAATAATACACAAAACAAATAAAGCATAACCATGAATCAGTAAAGAATAAAACAACAATACAGCGCAGAATCGCATGGCCGGACGCACTCTTAGTGAAAAAGTTTTCCTCCATTAGTGGAAAAGGAAGGGCGCCTTTTGCGTCTGGATATACTTAGCAACAGAAGGGCGCCCTGTACGTTGGGCACGAAGTATAGGAAACTTGCATGGTTAAAAAGAAGGGCACCGCCTACGTTGGGCACGACTTCCGCCTCATTTTTACAATGCGAGAACTCTATCTTGTATTTCTAGTATCTTTGATTATGATTACAGTTTCAAATTATAATTAAAAACAAAAAGAATATGATTACTCATTTCTAAAGGACATTTTAATTGTATAAACAGCCTGATAAACGGGTTAAGTAAAAGACTATCCCTTTTCTTCAGGAGAGTCAGCATGCCTAAATTCTAAAATACCTTTTCTTCTTTATCATTACTTACCCGGTTAGGCCAGTATTGAAAACCATTTCTCCTGCTGCCGAGGACTGATGGCCAAATGAGTAGCCTTGGTAGCGACTGCCATCTTCAAGAACTAGGCTAGCAGATGTAGGCTAGAAGACGAAAATATAATTAACACAAATAATTTACTAGCCGTCTTTTAATAGCCAGATTTCTCTACAGCAATTTTCTGATAAAATATGCTTTGTAGGTAATTCAAACCGTAATTTAATTATGCAACTATTCTTGCAGTTTCAGTTAAAAAGTATTTACATAGAAAGTGCACAGGACCTTTTTTTTTATTGTTTTTTTGCTAAAACAAGAGCACCATAATACTCACCCTGATCATCATTAAGATACCCATAACTTGTAACCATCATAAAAAAAATATAATCTAGCATAAATACCCCCATGGACCTATTACCGGTACAGAGATATTCTTAAAGGTATTATTATTAATCATACAAGACAAATAAACCAACCTTTGGGAGCTTGGACTCATTTCCTACTGTTGTTGAAAGAAACCGTAGTTTCTGGTTGAGGACATTTTTGACAAACTGTTGTCGCGTGATCAGTGCTGAGGTTCTTATAATGTAAGACATGCCACCAATACTGTTGGGAAAAAACTGAATCATTTAAGTTTATATAACATTAAATATAATTTATCAGACAAAAATTTTATGAAATTAGACCTACTAAGTGTCACGTATTTGGCGTGCGACTCACATTCAATATCTGTCTCCCGGCCTCACACATACTGTACATTATTGTCTAAAGTATATATATCTAAAAGTATAATATGTACAGGTACAGTCAACTCTCCCAATACCGACCACCCTTCGGACCATCTACTTTGACCGGTTTTCCGGACGGACAGGTTTAGAAAACGTCATGTTTACCTACCTTGGTTCCCCGACCTTGAGTCTATAATAAGCCTAGGCCTAGCAAGGTACAGCAGATAGGTACACCACACTGTATCATGTACTGTGTAGGCCTACTGACCTGAGAAGGTCATTTAAAATTCATGTTTTACTTTATTTTTACATTATTTATGTTGTACCTACCTATTTTTTTGTGTCGAAGTCTATATCAATAAAAATTTACACAAATCAACTTAATGTGTATCATAATTTATAATAAGTGTCAGTGTTATTTTTCGTTCGATCGCCATAATCGGCTTTGCTTCAACGTGGTTGCAAGCTTGATTGGTTTTCGATGCCGCTTGCATAAACTTGGTGGGTCACTGAATGCTAAAAATAAGTGCTAACTTATGCAGCGCCCCCTAAACAGCGTCAGCCAATAGAAAACAGTCAGAGGTGACAGTCAAAGTGTCATGCGCAATTGTTTTTATGAAATCGATAGCCTTATGTTGGGACCGCTTGGTTTGCCTTAGCGTGAGAATGAATGCAAAATGTGAGTGAAGGATACTTTCCTTAATAAAGAAAACATACTCATGAACTTTTTTTTATCAGTTTATTAAACAAATGAAATCTAGGCTTATTGCAATTAATTAATTAATGTGCTATCGGCGTGTCACACGATCAACACTAACGATCGTACACGTGGTGTTGTTCTGTGATTGATAGTTGTTATTTGGAGTCAGTCATGTGTCTCCGATGATTTATGTAACATATTTCGCCAATAAATCATCGTTTTAAACTGGCCGTTCGGTTTTCAGAAAGTAATTTTATTGTTCCGGACTTAAGAATTTGGCCGGAATTCAGAATTGGGAGATCCGGTTTTTAGAAAGTATTTTAATACAGTAAGAATAGGAATGATTTTGGGACGACCGGTTTTGTGTGAAATCCAGTTTTCTGGGTGGTCGGTATTGGGAGAGTTGACTGTATACTATTTGTGGCTTTTGTAGCTCTCTTATTAAACATTACATCAGGTCTACATAGGCTTGACTTTGTTAGTACCAATCACTTGTGACCAAATAAATTTTAGCTATTAAACATTACAGTAGGCCTACATAGCGATTGGTTTTGTGAGTACTAGTCACATTGGATCAAACTTGACAAAAACTAACTAGGCCCAAAATGTTTGACAACTCGGCCCCTAGCAGAACCAACTAATAACTCAAACCATCATGGCCGAAACCATTTTTATGATTTCTTAATACCATTATGGTAGGGTAGCTCATGGGCAATTCCATAATGTCGGACGTACATTTCAGACACTTTAGGGATGTTTTTCAACATAAACTTGTAGGTGTATCATTTTGTTTTGTTGTTAAGCATATATATACCAGTTACTATTTCATTAAAAAAAATTTTTTGATTGCCATGGTTACAGAGAACCGGTACAAAATGGCCTCATGTCCGACGTACTCGGTGAAAGTGGTTTTTTAAGTACTGGTTTGTGTTTTTCAAAATGTCTGTGATTTGTTAAGATTTATGGAAGTGATGTTTACTGATTATTATTCACTAATAACTAGTTGATGTGGAGGGCCAAAAAAATTGTACATTTTCTTAAGAAAAAATGGACGATTGAAGACGTGTCAGACGTACGATAAATTGTGTCAGATGTACATGTCTAAATTGTGTCAGGCGTACATATAATTGACAAAAATATACAACTAAATTAGCAATAAATTCAACCTTTTATTCATTAGACTGACTTGGCATCTCAATAAAAAATATTTAATAATTTTATGTTCATAACAACCTATTTTTGAGGTGAAATCTTGATTTTTTGTGAAAAATATAAAAATACACTGTAAATCTCCAAAAACACAACCCTACCTAATCCCTTTTATTAAGACTATATCATGTGGTATGACTCACTTGATATCTCAATCAAAAAATAAACAGAATGATGTTCAAGAGTTATTTTTTTTGGGAGGAGGAGGGGGAGAGAAAGGGGTAAAATTGGCCTTTTTACCCCAAAAATAGGCTGTACAACATAATTTTTTTTTTTTTATTGAGATACCAAGTAAATCTACTGTAATACTACATGATTCAATCACTATCAAGAAATTTGGATGGTTTTTGTGGTGTTTTTGAAGGTATCAGGGTTAAGTAATTTGTTTTAACGAAAATTGGCATTTTTACCCCAAAAATAGGCTGTTATGAACTTTTTTTAATTGTTGTATCAAATACTACATGATAAAGAGGGTTAGGTGGGATTTGTGGTGTTTTTGGAGGGTTACAGGGCTTAGCAATTAAAAAAACCCCCCAAAAATAGACTTTGTTCTGACCTGCATAACGTTTAGTCTAACCTCATCTTTGCAAAATCAGTTTTATTTCAACTGGAAACTCATTACCATCATACTTAACAAGAACCAGTCACCAGTATTGAATTCAAAGTCTTTTTAGAGATCTAGGCTACCCTTAAACGACAAGTTCTATCAATTCACATTTTATGAGTATTTGGTACAGTACACTCTCCAAAACCACACAAGTAGTTAAAAATCACCAAAAATTACCATATTTTCTGAGTTAGAGCCCCTCACCTAATCATTGAGCCACTCTCCCACATGACCTTTGACTCTACCATCAGCCTCCCAATATCAATATTCACTGCTGTAACAGTGTTCTCAAAATGATCCTCTAATATTTCTTTGTTCTCACCAGCTCTTACACATCTTAGAATACGCTTGAGAGTACATTAACGAACCTTTGTTTGGCCCTTTAGACGCAACCATTTGCCCTCTGCCAATATGCGAATTGTGGTCTATTGCTGCAAGCTGTGTTCGAGCGAGCATGCTTTTATATGGGAAGTGTAAGCGTTTTGGACAATATTGCAGCATCATTGAATGGTATGATTCAATGTTCCCTGTGTGACAGAAGTCTGTCAAGCCAGACAAAGAGTCCAAAATGCCCTTATTCAGCACTACACTTTCAAGTTCTCTGTATGCTTTTGATGTTGGATTTATCCATTTCTTGCGCTCATTTTGTTCTGGCAGCATGACATGTTTTCGTCTCTTCTCCCTCTTTCCACTCATGCTCCCCAGTTATGTGGTGAAGAAGTGACAACCATCTTTCTTTCAAAATGCTGGCACTTCCTTCGCAATGCTGTGAACAGTTCCACAAATGATTGGATATACACTGTATCCATCCTATGAGCTCAGCTGTAGCCTTTGTCCTACCCTTTTCTGCTAGCTTTTTCCTTATGCTTTTGGCCACGTGCCACACATCATACTGATGCTTAATGTCTTTGTATTTGTCACGCATCAGGCATTTAATTTGGACGTGCCTGTCTGTGGCAATAGTGTCGATTACGCAGCCAGAGTCTATCAACCTATTATTAATGGTTCTGATCAGTCCTTCCTTCTCCATGGCATTTGAATTTTTCACCTCGCTGACCTGAATCAATTCAAAATAAAAAATCATACCCGTTTCCTGCTCCATCAGAGTATATGTCCCGTACTTTGCATTATAGCCAGGAGAATCACACCTTCCATCTCCTGACAGTTTGCGTTTCTTGCCTTTTGACGCTTCAATAATATCTGCCCTCATTTCTCCCCAATATCTATTGATAACAGGGAACAAATACTTGAGTTGAATTTGATGGACCGTTGTCTTCCCAATCAATTCTAGGTTCATTGTTCGGCAAAACTTTTTCACAGACATGTAGGTGTTGCCACTAAATAAAATCCCAGCTGCACATAACAGATTACCAGCTGGCATGCCCCCTAACATGGGCTGTGAAAACCAATGCGATTCATGTTCATTTATGCAATGTAATTTTGCTTTGACCATTGTACCTTGCAGAGATTTCTGAACATTCTCTATACTACACTGGCAGACAGGACAAATTGTGCGGTTTAAAAGAATGTCAAGTGCACTTTCAAAAACTATGAATTTCTTTTCTGTTACAATGTTTTCATCAAACATTATTTCTTCGTCAGTACTTTCTCCTGATTCAGATTCAGAATCTGGTTGGTATGTTTTATCGCCATCACTTTCATCAATGAAGTCACTTTCTGAGTCATCATCACTCGATAAATTGCTCTCTGATAGTACCAGTTGCTCTTCATCAACTTCTTCAATTTGACTAGGTAGGCTAACCTGGTTTTGACAATATCTATGGTCATGCAACACAACCTGTGGTGTTGCAACTTTCACTGGGCCAGGACAAGACAGACAGGTGCAGAATATACCATCTGTTTGGACTGCAATGCTAGCAAAATTATTAGACTCTGACATCAGTTCAAGTTCAGATTCAGGCATTGGTTCGGGCAAAGGTTGAACATCTACCATTGAAGATGTTGGTTCTGCATCACTGTTAGTGTTATCTTTGTTGTCAGTTCCTTTTAGCATTGAAGTTAAAAGCTGTAAAAAAATAAAAACAAGTAAATGATGCATCTCTGCATAATAATTCTACATACAAAATTTATGAGATTTCTAAAGTCAAAAGAAATGAAAAAAATAAAAAAATTGTGTAAAGCTAAATTTGCAATAGACATGATAAAATACAATGACACAATCATCACATTGTTTGTATTCATCAGCCCTGCAAACATCTGTATTGTCATTGTGTTGTAATCGTGTCTGGGTCTATGATCACTATGTTTGTATTCGTCAACCCTGCGCACATCTGTATCGTGTCATACTTGTGTCTAGGTCCCTTGTGTAAATGGACTTTACCCATGCACTATACAGTATATA